TTAGAGGTTAGAGTATAGAGAGGATTATAGATATTATAAAAGTTAAATATAAGATGTGGTGCATTGGGGTGATTATGAGCTAGTTGGTCTGCTTTGTTGTTGAGTTTATTATTTTGATGTGCTTTGACTTTGTGAAATGTGATTTTAAGATTATTATTATTATTATTATAATAATAATTATTATTATTATTATTATTATTATAATATTATATTAGAAATTTTCATACATTCTTTTTTTTTTAGACAAATATAGTAAAATACATTCATCCTTACTTGATCGGAAAGCTAAAGGTGACACCCATATACATTTCTTTCTCGTTAAGATTTTCTGCTTGAACGCCGAGACAATTCAATAAATCTTTAACCCCTGATGCGACCCAATCTAATAAATTTTCAGCAGTTCCAACTTTTAATTCTGCTGGGACTACATACTTTTTTTGTTCAATGTCGGCTTTGCCATCACCAACTAAGGTTACTGCCGCAACTCTTAGATTGGTGCCCCCCAAATCCAAAGCGAAGTATGTACCAGTCTCAGCACCTGTTGGAAGACGTGAAACATATGAAGGTATCATAGTAGTATCGTCTTTAGTAAGACCATGGTGATATGCAATAATAAAACCTTCAATTATTGATTGTAACTTGTCTCTATCGAGCACCATCTGTTTTTCTAACGTGGACAGAGTTGGGGTTGGCTCATCCATCTTTGGTCAGGGTTGAATATTGTCGGAAAGAAGAATGAATAAATTACCGAATTAATAGTACCTAGGTACGTATGTACAAATTTGTTTGATTGGTCCATTATAAAGATAGGATCTACATGTGATCTCTTACTAAAAAGTACCGATTATCCGTAGGTGGAATAAATGTGCCGAACGCGCCACGATTTCGTCATTATGCATAATGCAAAATACGATGTATTCTTTGGTAATGAAAAAGGAGAAACAATCCTTTATATAGTGTAATTAATCTTTTTTTTTCTTTTGTATTCATTGCGTTTGTTAGCTTACATGTGAGTGTCTTTAAAATGGAAAAGTGATCACCATTTTTGGTTTAGAAAATGTCTTGTGAACAGATAAGCAACGTTACACTAAAATAAATGACACAAGTGACATAGCTTGGATTTACGACCTAAAATTTAGAGAATTAAAACATTGCAGCATAGTAATTTATAAACTGAACTGTGGGAAAAAATAATACATATCCTTTATTACTATGATCGGTGTCTTTGAATTGCTAAAAATGAAACTTTGATAATAAATCAATTTTACTACCGGATAAAAAATTAATATTATTAAATTGATTAAATGAGTTTATAATTTTGATTATTTCATGTTTCTGTTGATAACATGACGGGATTTTACAACTTATAGGCTGTTTTAAGAGCCTCATTAATGTAATTGTTTAGTGATGACGCTCAAATACTACAATCAATTGATACTAAGATGACTTGAGTTACTTATCTCTTTATCTTTCAATCGATTACCGTTACGTCTCCAAAAAAAAAAAAAAAAGGAAACACCCAAATACCCAATTACCTAAAATTTTAGTACCCGAAGTTTGGCGTCTAAAATTTTGATTCATAAAACTACTTCTTAATTTTTGCCACAACAGCCATATTTGGTTACACAATGATTACACTAATATCCATATTCGTTATTACAACTTTATATATTTTAATGTTATATATTTTATTTGGGAAATTTACAAGGGCCGAAAAGTGAAAATAATACGTACAAATACGAGCCCGAATAAAAGTAATTACACATAAAGGCCTAATTTGTAAAAAATATTACATATAAGAGTGGGTGTACGACATCGGTCAAATTACAAATATAGTGCAGGTGATCTAATAATCTCCAAGAATAGTAGGAAGAAGAGAGTTATATTGTGTATTGGGAGACAGTAGTGGGTAATAACAGAAGATTAAGAAGCATAATAGGTAGTATAGATGTAATTTGAAGCTGTTAAAGTGTATTATTAGTTATATTAATAAGTGTTTGTTAAATATTTTTAGTATTTTTAGTATATAGAAGTATGTGAAGAGTATCTTTGGTTAAGGAGCATTTACAATATTTGCTTGTTGTATGTAAATTTGAATATAAAATATTAAGGTTTTGCATTATTGGAAGATTGTTTGTTAGAATTTTGATATAAAAAGTGTATTTATAAGAATTGTATTCTAAAGAGTTAAGTATTCTGAAAGTTAAATTCCAATTTATATTAGATGTATAATTGTTAAAGAATTTTAATAAAGACCAAAAAAGGAGTTTTTAAATTGTAATAATGTTCATAATAAAGGTATGTACTTTAAATAGTATAGTATAATTATTTTAAAGAAAGTAAGTAGGAAATTAAAGTATATATAAGAGATTTCTAAAATAGTTTATTGGAATCTTGTTTGGCTAAAAGATCAGCTTGGTTATAAAGGAAATTAGTTAAATGTGATTTAACTTTGATAAAAAAAATAGAAATAGGTTGTTGCCTAGCAAATTGGGCTTAGAAGTAAATTTTTTATTTGTAAATATTAACAATTAATCATTTTGATACAAAATTTGGTATTGTGATAAAATTAGAATATTGATGATCTATAATTATACAAACACTTGTATCATAGATTCTGAAATTCAGTTAGCTAATTACAACATATAAAAAATTGCAGTACTAAGAGAACTATTACTTATTATGTAATTATAGCCCCCCTCTCTCTGGGGCGAAATGAACTCCTAGAATACCAGAGTTAGTAAATTGTCAGCCCAGATTTGAGGGGCTATAATTACGTAATAAGTGATAGTTCCCTAACTATCAATTTAAATTTAGAATAAAACTCTAGATTAAATAAAAAAACTATATACAAGATTGTACAGTATCCCTTAAACTGCTTCTTCTACAAATTTGGCTTGAAATTTTTTTAAAAATAAAATTTTTAAAATAAAATTCTAAATATTAACTTTAGCTATATACTTTTTAAGTAAAAATATATTTTGAAATATACTTTAATATCTTAGTTAAGAAAAAATTTTAAATGTATTAAAAAACTTAAGAGTAATAAAGGTTTTTTTTTTTTTTTTTTTTTTTTTTTTAATATTAAAGGTGAGACCATGCTCTTATCTTTATTAAACTTAATAAAAACTTTTTATATGATTGGAAAAGGTTTTATAATTTAAGCTTATTGCT